CGCCAGCCCTGCGAGGCCGACACGCCCGGGGTCTGTCCCTACCGCTTCTACAGGTTCTTTTCATCCAACCCCCTTTGGGTCCCCATCGGCCTGGATGCAGGATGAGCCATTGTACTGAGACTCCATCAGAGTTCATGAATGTTCTCAGAGCCTCAGTTTCCCTCCCAGGGTGATGGGAACAAGAGCCTCTGTCGCACAGAAGTCGCGGGATTAAGTGCGCCAATACCCAGGGTCAGCCAGGTGCTTGGCTGTAGGTCTCCGGGAGGCAGAACAGCCTGGAGTTTATTCATTCATTCAGCAGTTGTTATGGTCGGCCTGCTTTGTGCCAGGCACAGGACTGGGGACCAGGGATTCTACATTGACCCCAGCGCGCTTGGAGGCGTGTCTACCAGTGGCCTGTGAGGGCTCTGCTCTCTGTTCCCTCATGACCGCTCTGGGAAGTACATGGGACAGCCAGGGTTATGTGGGTCCGCTGGACAGCTGTGGATACTGAGGTGCAATGAGGTTACAACGATCTTGCCAAAGGGCACTCCCAGCAAACTGGACCTGAGGCGGGGTTCCAGCCTTTGTCACAGAAAGCATCCCCACAGGATAGACAGCAGCTCTGGTGCCACAGACCCTTCCCCAGGACAGAGTCCCTTGGGCCTGGAGGAGGACTCTACTCCAAGGCTGCACCCTTCCCTTCCCGGTGGGGGAGTTAGACTCATCCCTTGCGAGGACTCAGATTGGGGTGTCTCCCCTCCCTGTTAAACCCATGAGTGCCAGTATTTGTATGGGGCATGACTTTATCCCTCACTCAGAACTTTGGAGAACAGGAGGACTGTGATAGAGGAAACTAAAACATACACCCCATAGCTGTCACTCTAGGCGACGATACGGCAGAGACTTACCTATCTCTGTATCCACAGGGCCTGGCACACAGTAGGCCCGCAGTACACAGTTGCTGCTGTTATTAATGATGATAGCGGTGATCTGGCCCCTGGTCCAGACTTATCCTCAGATGCAACAGGTGGTGGAGGGGTGAGACGGTGGTGGCAGTGACTGATGGCCTGATTTGCATTGTCTAGAGTGAGGAGGGCAGGATCCTCAGTGCTGGCCCCCGAAGCCCACAGACCTGATCCTGAAGCCCAGAGGGAACTTGGGCAGACCTTGTGGTCCCAGTCACCTGCACTGCTGGGGGACCTGGGAGAACCAGAGGCAGCAGTTGCCAGGGCAGAGGTGATGCCACACTTGTGCAAGTTTCCAGGGCCCTTTTGGATCCCATGTGGATTCTTCCCTTCCTCCCTGTCTTCCACCTCCTCCTAGTTCTCCTCTCCTCCTCCAGGAAGTCCTCCCAATTTCCCCATCAGAAAGCAGGCACCACCCAGTTTAGTGGTGTTCCCCTTGGCATGATTTAGTCTATCTCCCTCTGGTACTACAAGATTTTAAGGGACCAAGAACCAAGATTTTACAGAACTGGTAGAGTATTCAGGAATGCTTCATGTAAATCTCAGCAATGCAATGTGACTTTGTGCTTTGGTTTCCCCAGCTGTGAAACCCAAGGCCTGGTTGCTTTGTCTCAGACTCAGACTCTCTCTGAGGAAGGTGGCAGCCACCTTGGAAGTTCTCAAGATTCTGAAACTGTTTACTGGGAGCTCAGAGGGTCTCTAATTCTTACCAGGAGATCCCCTCAGTCCCCAGAGGTCTGATAATCCATGTGACTTGAGAAAACCCTAGAATGTACACGTTGTTTTTCCCTACAGGTGGACAGATCCTGGGTTCACACGGCTCGGTAGAAGATGAAGCCCAATCCAGCAGGCTCCTCTCCAGAGGCTTGCAAAGCTACGGGCCAGGGCCAGCAGAGCTGCCCTGTCTGCCAGGCCTGGGTGGGGGTCTCAGGCCTGGGGTCTGAGTCAGCTCCTGGGCCGGGGCCTGGTGCTGTGTCCAGACCTGGGTTGGGGCCTGGTGTTGTGTCTGGACCTGGACCCGGGCCTGGTACTGTTCCAGGCCCTGGTGCTATTCTGGGGCCTGGGTTGGGGCCTGGTACCGTTTCGGGGCCTAGGCCTAGGCCTGATGTGGTTCTAGAACCTGGATCAAGACCCAGTGCTGCTTTGGGACCTGGGCTAGGGCTTGGGGGAGTGTTGGGGCCTGGGCCGGGGCCTGGTGCTGCTCTGAGACCTGGACAAGGGCCTGGTGTGGTGTCGGGGCCTGGGCCGGGGTCTGGTGCTGCTCTGGGACCTGGACAAGGGCCTGGTGCAGTTTCGGGGCCTGGGCCAGGACCTGGTGCTGCTCTGGGACCTGGACAAGGGCCTGGTGTGATGTCGGGGCCTGGGCCAGGGCCTGGTGCTGCTCTGGGACCTAGACAAGGGCCTGGTGTGTTGTTGGGGTCTGGTGCTGCTACAGGACCTGGACCAGCTCTGGGGCCTGGACTAGAAACTGGGTCTGTACCTGGCTCAGGAGCTTTACCATTATCTGGGCCAGCAGTCAGGCCTGGGCCCAGGCGGGGATCAGAGACTGGGCACAAACCTCCTGAGTCAATGACAGCCCCATCACCGCCACTGCAGCAGAAGACTCAGGCCACACCTGTGCAGGCCTCTAGGCAGAAGGTCCTGGTGACTGGAGGAGGAGGCTACCTGGGCTTTAGCCTGGGTTCTAGCCTGGCCAAGAGTGGCACTTCTGTCATCCTGCTCGACCTCCGCAGACCCCAGTGGGAGCTGTGCTCAGGGACCGAGTTCATCCAGGTGCAGTGATGACTGGGGGGCTGGGGGTGTGGGGAACCCTGGCTGGTGGTGGAGGGCGGGGAACAGTGTCTGATGTGTACCCAGTGGCGTGGTGTTGAAGGGCATGGCCTCTGAAGTCAGAGTGTTTCAGCTCCAACCCCAGCTCCCAGCCAGGCAGCCATGGCCACAGGGTGCCACCCCTCTGAGCCTCACATCTTCATCCATATAAAGGGGACACCAACAATATCTGCTTTACAAGGGTCTCGTGGGGAGTTGAGGAGACACTGCATGTAGAACACTGAGCACGGCCTCTGTGACTTAGCTCCATAAATGGGGCTGATGGCAAAGAGACCTGGTGGAATCATCTAGTAAACCCTGTCCCACAGCTGCTCCTGGCCCTGCAGATTCTAGCCCCAGGTGGGGTCAGGGGACCAGCACTGGGACCTGGCAAGGTACATAGCGGTTACCTCTGAGTGCCTTGGACCAAGGCCTCCTACCTCCGCGTCTTCCTTCTCCGTTCCAGGCTGATGTCCGTGATGCAGAAGCCCTGTACCGCGCCTTCGAAGGGGTGGACTGTGTCTTCCACGTGGCCTCCTACGGAATGTCTGGTGCTGAGAAGGTGAGCCCCTCACACACAGGGCCTGGATTCAGGCCTTGGCTCTGCCCACCCACCTCACTCCCCGGGTGTTCATTACTGCTCATCACCTATTCCAGGGAGGGTTTGGGCTGCACCCAGCCTGTGTTTTGCATCCATTGGGACCAAATGCCAGTTCTGCCATTTTCTAGCTGTGTGACTAGGGCAAGTTAACTTAACCTCTCTGAGCCTCCGTTTCTTCATCCACAAAGTGAGGCCATTACAAGTACTTCTGTCACAGTCTCTGCAGAGAACAGTGTAACAGTATTTATCAAAGTGTACAACACTCTTTGACTCAGAAATTACACTTCCTTGTATATTTACAGCATTGTTTATGAACCAAACCGGAAATAACCTACATGTCCATCAATTGGGGACTATTTTTTATTATTTTATTTATTTTAATTTTTTGGAGGGGGAAGGTAATTAGGTTTATTTACTTATTTAATTAGAGGAGGTACTGGGGATTGAACCCAGGACCTCAGGCATGTACCACATGAGCTATACCCTCCCCCAAGCTGGGGACTATTTAAATAAATGCTATCTATACACATACAATGAAATTCTATGCAGCCATTTAAAAGAATGAGATCATTCAATATGTGCTGATAACAGAACGATTTCCAAGATGCAAAAACACTATGTTTGACATTTTTGTTTAAAAAAAAAAAGCTACAGGGGAGGAGGGTATAGCTCAGTGGTAGAGTGCATGCTTGGCATGCACAAGGTCCTGGGTTCAATCCTCAGTACCTCCATCAAAAGTAAATAAGTAAACTTAATTACCTCCCCCCACAAAAAAAGAGTAGGTTAAAAAAGAAAGCTACATACTCACACATGCTTGTATGCTGGTGTTAATAAGGGTAAATTATCTCTAGAAATACAGAGGCTGATAACAGTGGTTGCCTCTGGGGAGGGAAAAAGGAGACTTGGAATAAGGATTGAACTTTTTAACCTTGTGATTGTATTACTATTAAACAAAAACAACTGCAACAAGAATAAATATAGTTTAAAAATCAGTACGGAACTCACCTCCTCTTCATGTGGTTGTAGGGATTAAATGAGTCGTCAAGGCCTCACCCTGTCCCTGGGGCACCAGCATCTTTCCCTGTAGCCCAGTTTTCATTTTTCACACCCCAGCCCCTTCGCTTGGATAGTATTACTGTGTCCATCTTACACGTAAGGAAGCTGAGATTTCTAGAGCCAGGAAGCAATCCAGCACATTTGAATCCTTTTTCTTTGTCAGGCCCTATACCAGGTCCTCCCACAGGGCTTATTAAATCCTGCCAACCACCCAAGGGGGTCTGCCCTCACTTTACAGATGAGGGAGCTGAGGGTCAGGTGCAAGACGGAATCTCCCCAGCTGGCCCATGGAGATGGTGGCAGAGTGGGGGCACTGGACCCAAGGCCCCCGCACTGCCTGTGGGGCCCCCACCCTGGGATCCCTGCCTCTGAGCTGCAGCCCCCGCCCTGCCCCGCCCAAGCCCAACCTCATGGCCTCAGCAACAAGGCGTGAGGCAGCACCTGACTCTCCCACCTCCGTCTTGTCTTTTAGCTGCAAAAAAAGCAGATTGAGTCTATAAATGTTGGAGGCACCAAACTAGTGATTGATGGTAGGCGCTCAGAGTGGAGTGTGACCTGCCGTGTGTTTCCCACTTCTCTCCCTACTCCTGCCACAGGCCCAGCTCTAGGGGACAGGGTGGAGGAGGGACGGAGACCAGAGCCTCCTCCTCTCCCTCTGCCCTCTCAGCGGAGGGCCTGTGGGCAGCACATCCTTCCTGCTCTGCAGGCCTGCCCAGGCCCCAGCATGGGGTGACTCGGTGTGGCCTCGGCGTATCTGAGGACACGGGGAGTGGCGTTTGCACAGAGGGCTTAGGGGTCGGGAGAAGAAAAGTCGCTGAAGGACCAGAACAGAAGCCCCACATCTGGGCTCCCTGGGCATGTGCTGCCTGACCTGCATCCCGTCTTTCCCTGTCATTTTTGAGTGTGTTTCTTCTGTGTCCCCATCGAGTGGACTTTCTTCTGACCTGTCCCTGGCAAGGTAGCTCAGGGGCCACAGCCACACTGAGAGTGAGCCGACTCGGCCCCCAGGGGCCCATGGAGCAGGGACTTGACCCCTCCCCTAGTTAAGGGAGGGAGGTCTTTCTCTTCTGAGCCAGGATGTGTGCTGGAGGCTGGCTAGAGTTCAGTGGATTCACCCAGTTTGGTCCCGTGGGCACCTCCTCAGCCAGCTCTCTGCTCACATCGACCCCGTCTGTGTGCCTGTGTGTCGCTGTGTGCACCTGTCACTGCAGTTTGTGTCCGCCGGCGGGTTCCAAGGCTCATCTACACCAGCACCGTCAATGTCGCATTCGGCGGGAAGCCCATAGAGCAGGGTGATGAGGACTCTGTGCCATATTTCCCACTGGAGAAGGTACTCGGCTTCCAGGAGAGGTGGGCGGGGCCAGTGGGCCTGGGACCCACAGTCCAAAGGGTAGGGAGGGGCAGAGCCAGGGTCAACTTCACAACTCAAGGTGAGCCCCAGGAACAAAGGATCCCCAAAACAGGGTGGCACAAGTCCTCTTCTACTTTGGCTGGTCATGCCAGCAGGGGCTTTGAAATCACACAGACCTGACTTTGAGCCATCAAAGCCACTTTCTACTGTGGGGCCCTGAGCAAATCTCTTCACTCTGAGCCTTTCCTTTTTCATCTGGGTGCGATAACACCACCCTGTGGGGACATGGAGAGCTGGAAATGAGATGATGTATGTGAAAATGCTGTGTGAGCACTAAGGGACTACATGTCAACGGTCCATCTGACGCTCGTCCAGCCCCTACTTCCCAGAGCAGGCACTGGGGCTGGCAGAAGCCTCCCTGAATCAAGGAGCCCCTGGTCATTGTTACTCCTCTGAACTGTCTCTGTGATTCCTGTGGCTCCCATGTAGAGGGAGGAGAGAGGCAGTAGGGCTTCAGGATTGGCCATTTCCTAGTGGGGGTCCCCAGAAATGAACCCCCATATGGTCTGCTGCAAAGGTGCAGCTCTGAGGCCAGGCAAGCATTGCCAGCAGTGTCACCGACCCCTGTCCAGTGGCTCTGTTCTCCCTGTCCCCTGGTAGCACATGGACCACTACTCCCGAACCAAAGCCATCGCCGACCAGTTGATCCTCATGGCCAATGGGACACCTCTCCTAGGTGAGTACTCGGGGCCCTGCTCACAGGCAGCATGCATGCCCACTGCTGCCTTCCTGCAGCAAGTGTGACTCTAGCTTTTAGCTGATAGCTTTCTGGGGCCCTCTTTCCTTCCAAAGGACACCTCCCCAAGGCCTTGGGCATTCATCATCCAACAAATTCTGAACACCTGTTGTGTGCCCACACCCTGCCAGGGATACAGCCTGGAAGATGGCAGGCCCAGGCTCTGCCCTCACGTTGCTCCTGGTCTGGTGGGGAGACACTTGGGAAAGCCCAAATCTGGCTCTCTTTTCTGCCACTTAAGAGGGGATCCAGTTTTCAGGACCCTCTTTAGACAAGAGTACAAGTTTATGAAGATGCAATGAGGTATAGCACTTTGCAAGGGTCGTGCACCTGAGGGGCCCTTTAGTAACTCCCAGAAAAATCAGCCTCGTCTGCGTTATTGGATTGTCATAGAGAAGTGACAATAGAGCAGGGACAGGTGACAGCCGGGCACAGTGGCTCGGCACCCACGCACTGGCACTGGACTGAACTGAGTTCAAATCCAAGCTCCACCTCCTGTCAGCTGTGGGATCTTGGGCGGTACACTTATCCCCTCCCAGCCTGTCTCCGCATCTGAAAAAACGGGGATAATATTGGAATTCAGCTCAAAAAACCTTGAGTGAGAATAAAATGATTTGGACTGTTAAAAAAAAACATAGACAGCTTGAGTTTATCAGGTGCTTGCTGCTTGCCAGGCCCTGTTTTGCATGCTAATTTTATCTGCACAAGTCTCAATAACTCTTAACAGCAGCCAGACAAGGTAATAACCTGAGGTCTCCCTTCCTTTCTAACCTCAGGAGTCAGATTCAGATAAATTCTCTGTTATCCAGATTATCACTGTTTGCTTTCTGAAATTCAGAAACTAAAAAGAATCAGAAAACCTGGTTTCCCTCACTGTCTAAACTCAGGAGCCAAGTGGATTTGGAGAGTGAAGGATGTTTGAAATTTACAGAAGAGAAAGCTGAGGCTGAAAGGTTTGCTGATTTAGCTGAGGGTCACATCGCGATTAGGTGGCAAGGTGGGATTTGAACCCCCTCCCCACCAGGGGAAACACCATATCCTGGGGCTTGACGGTAGCTATGGCAGAGTAGGTCTCTTTCCCTTAAAATCTTCCCCACCCTACCCCCTCACCCTGGGCCTGTCAGGCCTTGGCCCCTCATCCAGTGGGAACATCCAGCTGTGTCTTTCCAGGGGTTAGACCCTGCGCAGTTGAAGTCTCTTCTCTACCTGGGGCCTCCCCTGCCTGGACCAGCAGCCTATGAGCCAGACACCTAATCCTCTGGCCGAGAATTATTTATACGAGCATCCCCAGCTTTCCACAGTCAGGGGAGTCATGGATACCCTGGGCCCGGCCCCGCTGTGACGTGGCTGCCCAGGGCCCCGCTGGACAACGTCAGCTGCAACCCGACCCCCCACACCATACCCAGGTGACCCAGAGTTTAAAATTAGCTGCAGGCTGTTTACAGAAAAGCTCACCTGATACCTGCCTCCCAGGAGTCCAGCCACGGTCACCCTGGGTGATTTCCAGTCCCTACTACACAAACCGGTCCCTGAGACGCTGCCTCTAACCTGGCATGGAGTGCCCTGGTCCCTGTAGCAGGGTCCTGAGACAGTGCAGACCCCAGCTCAGTGTGAATGCTCTGTATCCTCCTGTCTCTTGGTGTCTTTAGTGTCCTAAGGCCACCAACACAAATTACCACAAACCTAGTGGCTTGAAACAACAGAAATTTCTTCTCTCATAGTTGTCACAGTTCACAGCCAGGCGTCTGAAATCAAAGTGTCGTTTGGGCTGTGGTCCCTCCAAAGACACGAGGGGAGAGTCCTTCCTTGTCTCCTCCAGCTTCTGGTGGCCCCAGATGCTTGGGGTCCTTCCTTGGTGGGTGGCTGCTTCACCCTGGTCTCTGTCTCTGTCTTCACATGGCCTCTCTTCTTCTTGACCTGTCTCTTCTCTGTGAGTCTCTTATAAGGATACGCGACATTGGATTTAGGGCTCACCTGGATAATCCAGGATCATTTCATTTTTAGATCCTTAATTACATCTTCAAAGATCCCTTTTCCAAGTAAAATTGGATCCACAGTTTCCAGGATGTGGATGTATCTTTTCAGGGGCCACCCCCTCAAGCCACTACACTGGGCCTCATTGTAAAGTGAGGGTGTTCAAGGGAGAGCAGGCAGGATGCTTGGTTCTGACCCAAAGACACCAGCCCTGGCTAATTTGTGGGGAAAAGTGAATTTATACTGGAAGGATATGGGAAATATTCTGGAAAATAGATTCCAGAGAAATGACCACCAGGGCTTAGAAAGGACAAGGTCGAGGGAGCTCCAGGGACCTGGGTGGCAGGAGCTGGTGATCAGCCTCTCAGGATGAACCCACTCCTAGGATTTTAGATCCCACATCAGTAATGTCGAGAGTCACATTCCTGGGTGAGGCCATGGCATTGGCCCAGCTTGGGTCCCATGGCCACCAGCTCAGAGGAGAGCAGCGCATCTAGACTGACAGTCCCCCTAGACCTGGTGCAGAGGGGAGGGGACCCCGGAGGAAGGTGGGCTTCTGGTCCCAAAGGTTGGCATACACTCAGCTCCCCAAACTAGGGGCACGACCGCTTGGGGAACCTGAGCCTCGGGGAAGTGGGACATCTTCCAGAGGCTCCGTCTCAGTTCAGGAGTTGGGGCTGGGAGTCAAGCAGTTTACAAATAAGTAGTTTAAAAAATTTTTGCTCTTAAGCACAAATGGATTATAAGAACACATTGAACATTTTATAACCTTTCTTAAGATTTAAAAGGAATCTGTTTGGGGCAGCTCTTCAGGCTGTACCCCGAGACTTCCCCGGGGAGACATGTTCCCACTTACGCCAAGAGGGCCCCTCAGCAGAGCATTTGGGAAGCCCTGGACCAAGCTCTGTCTTGGTCTGGGGACTCTGCTGGCACAGAGCAGTGAGAGTTAGGGAGACAGACCCCCAGCTCTCATGCTGTCAGTAGAAAGAGCCTGGGCTTTAGTTCCCATCTCAGCTCCGCTAGGAAGGGCTGTGTGCCCTTAGGCAAATCACTTTCCTTCTCTGAGCCTTTGTTCTTTTATCCATAAGACAGGGATAATAACAGTTCCCACTCATAGGGTTGCCTTGAGGGAAAAAGTCCAGGCTTATCAGAATGCCAGGCACATAGTAGGACCTCTCCATGGTCTTTAACTGATAACCAGAAAAAGGAAAGAACTACAGCTATAGGCATGAGAGCATGTGGGTCTGTGCTCGTCTGTAGAATGGGCACAGTAGGACTCAGGGAAGTCGAAGGATATCACGCCTGTCAAGTGCTGGATAAACTTATGGGTCATGCAGATAGCTGCATGCAGGTCTTGTCTCTGTTACTGGCAGGGGCCATTTCTTGGTCATCCTTTGATTCTTCACAGTATCCATCCCAGGGCCCAGTGCTGGTGCAGGGCAGGGCAGGGCAGTGACAGGGGTGATGCTGAACAGTGTTTGTTGAATGACTATGTGATCGACTGAGAGAATGATTAATTAAATAAGGACACCCCAAGGACCTGCCTTCCCTACCAACCTATCTGGGTAAGGACCGGGAGATGTGGACAGCCTTTCTGTCCCTCTCCTTGCTCGTCCACCCCCATTCCCGGGACCCTGACTGGCCTCCCCTGTATCATAGGAGGAGGCACTCTGCGGACATGTGTGCTCCGGCCCCCAGGGATCTACGGCCCCGAAGAGCAGAGGCACCTGCCCCGCGTGGCGGTATGTAGTCCCAGCGCCAGGCTGGAGGCACAGAAGGAGCCTGATTGGTGGGAGGAGCTGAGCAAGGGTGTCGGGGTTGGGGGACAAATCAGAGAGTAGCTGGGTGGGGAGCAGAAGGGCCTCCTCAGCCATCCAGCCTGCAAGGATGGGCGCCCTGGAAGATTCTGAGCAGGGGAGATGTGATCTGACTTAGGATTCAAAAGGAACCCCTGGCTGCATGGGGAACAGCCTGCAGGGGCCGAGGGTGGAGGCAGGGGGCCAGTTAGGAGGCTATTTCTTTATCCAGGTGAGAGATGAAGGCAGCAGTCAGGGTTGTGAGGAGTGGCTGGATTCTGGACAGATTGTAATGGCTGAGGCACTTGGGTACACAGACGGGTTGGGTGTGGAGAGTGAGAGGTGGTGTCAAGGGTGGCTGCAGGGCTTGGGCCTGAGCACTGGGTGCTGTGGGCTGCGGGGAGGGAGGGATCAGGCGCTCACTCCTGGACAGGACAAGGCCACCTTGTCTATTCGAAGACCAAGTGGAGGTGTCAGGAAGGCATCCTGTGTGGAACTGGGACAAAGGACTCTGGCCTGGAGCTAGAAACTTGGGAGCCTTCAGCATGTAGATGGAATTTAAAGCCACTCCAGGCTTGGTCTGTGTTTCTCACCCGTCCCCTGGCCTCCACCAGAACCACGTCAAGAAGAGGCTATTCATGTTCCGATTTGGGGACCGCAGGACACGGATGAACTGGGTCCACGTGCACAATCTGGTGCAGGCACACGTGCTGGCGGCCGAGGCCCTCACCGCCGCCAAGGGCTACGTGGCCGTGAGTCCCCTATACTGCTCCCCCCACCTTACCCCGCGGGCTGCAGGCTGGTCCCCCAGCCCTAGGGGATTCCTGGCTCACACACATCTCCCCAACTCATGCTGGCTGATGGGACAGGCACAACAGGTGGTCCTTTTAAAGCATCATTAGCGCCTCAAAATGACCCTGTAAGGTAAGTGTTGTTGATTCCAGAATGACAGGCACCAAATGCTAAGCATTTTACACATAGCATTACATTTAATCGTTTTGACAGCCCAAGAGGAAGAGCCCGTTGTTTTCCTCCCATTTCTCAGATGAAGAAACTGAGGTACAGAGAGGTTAAGTGACTCCATCAAGGTCACACAGCTAGTCAGTCAGCAGCCTCAGAATTCAAAGGGACTTGTCCAAGTCTGTCCCCAGGGCTGCTCAGGAGTTGTCTAGGGTTAGGGCAGCTGCTGGAAGCCATCTGAGAGTGTGGGATCAGGTGGTGGGTGTGTGCGTGACCGTCCCCCTCCCCATGTGTCCCCCTCAGAGTGGACAGGCCTACTACATCAATGATGGGGAGAGCGTCAACCTCTTCGAATGGATGGCCCCGCTGGTAGGTGCCCAGACACTGCCCCCACCCCAAGTGAGAATCCGGGGAGCCCCACATCTTCTCTCTCTGTCACCCTTTCCTACTTACAAAAAAATCAGAAAATTTCACATTAAAGGCCAGCTCTGGCAACAGTGTCCAATGGGCAACATTGGAACTGGCTGGAGCTGGGTCATGGCTGCACTTTTGGGGGCCGTGAGCTACCCCGGTTTGCCACAGTCCCTCCCACCCTGCTTCCCAATTTATGGTGACATCCCGCCTTGTGGAATTTTGCTTGTGACCCTGATACTAAGTGGTGAGGCCCCGAAAGAAGTAAATAGAAGGTAGACAAAGCACAAACGTGCCCTGCTCGCCCCACGGCCTTTCCACAGCAGCCCCTGAAGGACCGCAGCTCATTTAAGCCATGTTTCCTTGCAGTTTGAGAAGCTGGGGTACAGCCAGCCCTGGATCCAGGTGCCTACTTCCTGGGTTTACCTGTCAGGTAAGGAAAGCGTGTATATTAAAACCCTCCATGTGCCAGGTGTACATGTGTTACCTGATTTTAAACCCAGGGCCAAGACCTAGTTGAGGCCAGTGGGGCATTGAGGGCACAAAATTTAAGGAAACCCTTGCTGCCATGCTTCAGATGCTCCAAGGCCAGTGTGCACGTGCCCAGCCCTGAGAGCAAGTGCCTCCTTAAATTTTAAACCGGAGACACCTCACTCCCCCTCACCTAGTCCTGGCCCTGTTTAATCTCTATTCCACTTGCGAGGTGGGTGTGATGGGGCCCATTTTAAAGATGAGGCAATTGAGGCTCTGACAGGTTAGCAGCCTGCCCACAGTGCCGCAGTGAGACGGCAGGAGAGGTAGAATCCATCCTGGGCTCTGCTGATGCCAAAGCCCGTGCCCAGCCCTGCATCCTGGGTGGAAGGGACCGTGCTGAGCAGAGGAGAGGGAGCCCTGCGGCTGCCCATCCTCCAAGGTCACCATGGCGTTTAGGCTGCTTTTGGACATGTGGAGGTTCTGTTTTGACCCTAAATTCTCCTCACCCTGAACATCAGTCTCTACTCCCATGCCCCAGCATCCCTCTGCTGGCCTCCTTCCAGCTGGAATGCTGAGAGCAGGCATCAGGCATGGAGTGATCAGTCCACGGGGACAGGTGCCCTCAAGTCACAGACAACTGTGTTCCTGGAAGACCTCCCATTTCTCAGCTGCATCTGTTGCATTCTAAATGCACCGGGATGCCTGGCATTTAAAGCAGGGGTTTGCAAACTTTTGTCCCACTGAGCACACGCTCAGGATGACTTCTCCTGCATAGCGTTGCCGCTGTGATTGACACCCCTTATTCCCCAGCTGAGAAGCGATCAGCCGTAGGTTCTGGCAGTTCTGGAAGATTGTCTATAAATCCCCAGCTCTCAGTAAGCTAACTATAACTCAGTGGTTCTTAGCCTTGGCTGCACATTAGAATCACCTGGGAGCTTTTAAAATCTAGAAATACCTCAGCCACGCCCCAGACCAATTACAACAGTGCCTGCAGGAAGCAAGAGGGCAGGAGAAGGAAGAGCCTTTAAAAAGCGGCCCAGCTTACAGCCCAGGTTGAGCTGAACCGCTTCCCAGCTTCTTTTTCTCCTACTCAAGAGAGCATATCGGAACAGAGGTGAGTGAGAGAGATGTGATTATAGAGATCACTGCGATTCTGCTCAGACTTATTTTTAAATGTCAGTCCTTTCATATTAGTAACAATTTACTTTTGACACATCTCACAGCCAGACAAGTCTCCCAGGGGTGTGCTGACAACTGCTGATTTAAAGGAATCCAAGGACAGGATAATGTTTGCCAAGTGGAGATTTCCCCTAGTGAAGCAAATAATGCCCCAAATTGATTTGTCCCTGAGGGCCTCCGTGGAGCTTGCGTGGAGCAGGCACGCTGGTCACCGGCCCCTCTCTCCCCACACAGCCGCGGTGATGGAGTGTTTGCATCTGGCCCTGAGGCCCATCTGCAGCCTCCCACTGCTGCTCACCCGGAGTGAGGTAAGTGCGCTGCTGCGAGGGGAGCCCCCGCCCCTGGGGGCTCCTTGCCTTCCTGCCCCTCCCCCACTCTGGTAGTCCCAGCTCCTCTATGACATCCCAAACTGCGGGCTTGTGCTCTCCTGGTTTGAAGGACGACAGCTCCAAACCCATCCCTCATGGCTCTCATTTCATTCTAAAGCTGCCTGTCTTCCCGGCCAGACTGAGGGCTCCCGAAGGCAGGTTCTGTGACATTCACTTTTCCACCAGCCTTCACCACACATGCACACACACACATAGCCTGTTGGTTCTAGGCTCACAGTTCCTGCTCACTGACTAATAAGTATATATTAAGTACCTACTGTGTTCGGAATACTGTTCTCGAATAATGATGTAGTTTTCCATTTGCGTATACAGTTTAGAAGAGGATGTTTTAATGCAGAATGTAAACAGTAAAGTAACAAGTCGTGCTGGGTGTTATTCGCAGAATCCGTCCAGTCTGCTCTCTCATTTGATTCTCCCTGTTGCTCTGCTAAGTTAGGAAGGGCAAAAAGATAATGATCTCATTTAATGGTGAGAAACTGAGCCTTCAGAGGTTAGTGACTTGTTCAAGGCACTGTTCTGGAATTGCTTCACATGCCAAGCTCAGTGCTCTCCACCTCGGGGAATGGAGAATGGGCTGCAGAAAGCAGCAGTTCCCTATGGTTTCTCCTTTGAAGGATCCAGACTAGCGGAGGAAGAAAAGTGACAACAGGGACCATCTACTGAATGGTGGTGAAATGCCAGGCACTGTGTTTATCTCATTTAACCTTCACAACTACTACTGCTGTCGATTCTGTTACCACCTTCACGTACAGAGGAGGAAATGAAACACAGTGGTGGGGGGCGGGGGCGCGGGGTGTGAGATAACCTGCCCATGCATTTATGTATGGAGCAGTGCTGATTGGAACCAGATCAGACCTAAGTGATTTCAAGCTTAACTCCTAGCTTGTGCAATGTCAGAAATCATATTCACATAAAATAACTGCCAAAGTGCTGCTGAATAATGGTTGGGTGGTGACCTGCCTCTGCTCCTCTCCCATCACTTGGTTTCCTCCTCAACTCAGGGGCAAAGGATCCCTGCCGAATTAGCTGGGGAGTTTCTTGGCACTGTGGCTCGGGCGCCCTCTGCTGGCCCGTTTATGACACACCAACCAGCTCTCCAGTTTGACTTCATAGCTTTTTTTCATTCATTTATGTATTGAACACCTACTGTGTGACAGGCACTGTGCTGCGGAACGGAGGCAAAACAATCCTTACCCCAAGGAACTCACAGTCCAAAGGGGAAGACAGCCCAGCAACCAGGCAACTATACTGGGGAAAAACTGAGGAACTTCAGGGTGCACAGAAGAGGCACCTAAGCCAATTCTGAGGAAGTTAGAGAGGCTTCCCAAAGGAGGTGACATCTAAGCCTGAGATTTGAGAATGCGGTGTCCCAGGACCCCGCTTCTCTAGTTCACAGCTATATCCCCCAAACCGCTGAACTTACTAGTTGATGCAAAAAGGGACAAGAACTTGCCTCTCTCCCTCTCTCCCCACACAAGCATCGAGACTAGGGGCTTGACCCCAGGGGCTGTTTCAGGACCACGGGAGAACCAAGCAGCTAGAGGACTCCTTCCCAGTGTCTGGCTGAGGAACGAGAGGGGAAGAAATGAGTCAGGTGGGAGAGTACCCTCAGTTCAGCCTAGCAGGGAAGAACATGGGTTAGAATCTGGCTGCCCTGTGTGACGCTGGGCAAGTCACTTAACCTCTCTGATCTTTGGTTTTCCAAAGAGAAGATGGTGGTGGTACCACTTCACAAGATTAAATGAGATAAGGCCTAGGAAAGATTTAGCCCATGCCAGGCACAGAATGCACAGTGCAACCTGTGAAGCTTGTGGGCCCCAGGCCATCTGGCTGCCGGATACCAGAAACGCAGCTCAAACCCTGGAGAGTAATCACTTGTGCATAATTGAATCGCTCTCTTAGGGAAGCTCAGTTAATCAGCGAGGGTGTGAAGGCTGCACCCTAGGTCCTGTCTGGCCAGACAAGGTCTGGAGCTATGGGCTGAAAAGCCAAGAGTGTTTCCTGGATACGTTTTTCCAGGGAGCCGCACCCAGGCCACAGGCAGAATGTATCAAGGGCCTCCTGAGCCCCAGCATCGTGCTAGGAGGGGGAAGGGGAGTGCAGGGGTGAGGGCTTCACTTTGGGGGGACTGAGTTCAGTAGCGTGGGGAGATGCAGAAAAGGCATCCTGGAGGTGGCGCCCTAGAGGAAAACGGAGATGAGAGAGAGATGCCCTTCCAGACGGGGGCATCTGCAGGGGCAAAATCCAACACAGGGGTCCTTTTAAATCTCTGTGCAACGGACGGGAAATCCCTGCCCTCGCTTCTCTCCCGGAGAAACAAGGTGGAGGTTGCGTCCCACGCCCACTCGTCCCGCCCCTCGGCTGCCCCGCCTCTCCCCGCAGGTGCGCAGCGTGGCCGTGACGCACACCTTCCAGATCGCCAAGGCCCGCGCCCAGCTTGGCTACGCGCCGGACAAGTTCAGCTTCGCGGACGCCGTGGAGCTGTACGTGCAGTCCACGACCGCGCGGCCCCGTGGATCCGCGGCGCCGACGCTCCTGCGGCTGCTGCTCGGGCTGCTGCTGCTGCTCGGCCTGCTCGCCCTGGCCCTGCACTTCCTAGGCCTGCAGCCGTCCGTCGTCTGACCATCGCCGCCGGCCTGTCGCTGCCCCTGCTTCACCTCCCGGACTCGGACCCTACCCTGCTGTGCTCTGCAGACTTGGGCCCGCCCTTGAATACTGGGGTTGTCCCCACCCCGCCCTCTCGCCCCTGTCCCGCCCTCCGTGTCTTGGTCCGGCCTGGCCTGGGTCTTGGTCTCCCTCTGGCCTGGCCGGGAGGCCAACAAGAAGGTCTTAACTTCCCAGCCTGCACCGCCTAGCCGACCTTCTCCTTCTCTTGCCCGGGCTTGACCCACCCCTGGTTCTCCCCTCCTCTGGTTCCGCCCTCTTTCCGGCTCTACTCACATCCCTTTGGTTCCTCCTTCGGGAATTGGCCTTGCTCCTCCCTCTGGGTCGTGTCCCTCCCTTCTCCTACTTTTGATTAGGCTCTAGCCCCGCCCTTCCAGCCTGGCTCCACCTCCTCTCCAGCCACACCTCCTAGGTGAGTCCGTGGAGCCGGCCTGCAGCGGCTCGTGCAGGCTGGCCTGACCTTTGCAAGTTTTCGCTGTCTGCTATTACTCCTCTAGGGCCTGGGACTCTCCTCGCTGCCTGAGCTTCCCTGGGCTTGTCCTGAGATCGTCTGGGGATCTTGAATTAGACCTACTCGTTCTAGGAGCATTGCGTTTGATCCGCTGTACGCTTATGTTTTGGGTTCGCTCACTCACGTACATCTCCCTGTGTGCTGACAACCAGGGTTGGAGAAGCACCTGAGACCCAGGCTTCTGCCCTGCCCAGCTTGGCCTTTCCGGGTTTCCTGTGTACGAGTCTGGGGATAACTCAGTAAGCACACACTTCAGTACCAGAAGGGACATCAAAAAAAGAATGGTCAAAAGATACAGACTTCTAGTTATAAAGTAAATAAATCATGGAGGTGTAATGTACAGCATGGTTAGTATAGATAATAATACTGTATCGTACATATGGAAGTTGCTGAGAATAGGTCGTAAGTTTTCATCTCAAGAAAAATAATTGTAACTTTGTGTGGTGATGGATGTTAACTAGATATTGTGATCATTTCACAGTGTATACAGATAGCAAGTAATTATGTTGTACACCTGAAACTAATGTAATGTTACATGTCAATTATATGTCAAAAAAAACCCACCTTTTTTTAAATAATTGGACCTCTCAGAAAAGTACCAATGTCGTTCTAATGGGAATTATTAGAAGTTGGCTGGTCATATTGTATGATTTAGTATGGTTTCTATTGTTAATGAGGGGGCCAGTAGTGATCACCATAATCTTTAATGTTTAAACCACAAAATTTCTTAATCCAGCCCTGCTCTTCACAGAAACAGTGCCTTCCTCTTGTCTTGGTATCTATCAACTGTGGATACCAAAATATCAGTGTACAAATACATCTGTGCATGTTATCATAATATGCATCCATGGAATTGGCTGATAAAACCATGGATCGTGGCGGAAAAGAAAACCATCACAAGCCTAAAGACACCTGTGATGAGGAGGAGCGCATGTGTTAGTGAGGACCATGTTGGTGTGGCACCGACGGCATGTCCTCTGCTGATCAGTTAGGAGAGTTTGTGAAGCAGCTCAAAAATGTATGCTCCTCTTGGCTCTGTGGAATTGCATGTGTGTATATAAATTTTTAAAGCTCAATAATAATCCTTTATGTCTGTTTAATGCTTGACACTTCGAAAGGGCTTTCATCTGTATGCGCTCACTTAATTCTCAGTGTCACCCTTACATTTCAGAAATGAAGAAACTGGGGTTGTCTAACTTCAAAGGGTGGAGGAGGGTGGGTGTTACTGCTCTGCAGCTGGCACAGTTTGGAGGAGCTGCCCAAGGCCCAGTGGCCTAAACATAACATGGTTATTTCTGCTCTTCAGCCTTGCCAGGGCTTGGGTTGAGCTCTGGAATCTCCCTCAGTCTCAGATCCACAAACCTGGGGCCATTTGGGACTGGCAGCCCTTGGACTTTCTTCTTCTCAGTAACATGCTTGCATCTAACGTCACCTTCTCCTCTTTCTTGACCAATCCTGAGAAATCTGTTCTCAGGACAGGGAAGACAAGCTTTCTTTGTTCACATCATCATCTAGGTCTTTTGTCTGTTGCCAAACCTCAGCTTGTGAAACCCAAAAGCAAAATCAATGTCTTTGTTTTCTGGGTTTCTCTTAAGTCATCTCTTTCCAGAGGCTGTGTAACCTGGGGAATGGGGGCAGCTTGGATCAGTATGCCAAGAAAGCTTCCTTCCTCTCAAGTATCTTTACCCAATGGGAAAGGAGGTGGCATCGCTACCCAACAGATAAATCAAGTCCCCCCGAGGGTTTTAGAGGCTGCCCAGATGACCTGCCCTCCATGAGGTTCTGAGAGGGCAAACAGGAGGAGGTCCTAGCTTTCTTGGAGACACTGAGTGTTATGAGTAATATGTTATGAGTATTATGAGTGCAGAAAACAGAGTTGACACTGTGGGGAGCTTGAGGTGATAGAGCCAATCAGAATGGACCATCAAGGTAAATTCATAAAGTTTCCATTATGGGCAGTGAAGCTATTTCCCATTGTAGACCCGAAGCCAAATGTCTAATACATCCTCCAGTCTCTCTCATCTTAGAAAGATCTCTCTTCACTCCCCATTCCCCCTCCCACAACTGCTGCCATCACTCTCCCCCTCCTCAAAATCAATTTGATTTTCATGATGAGATGTGAGATGTCCACACTTAGGTTTCCATTTCTTCTCTTCAACTCACATAAAAATGGCTTTAATCAAGGTCATCACTGGCCTTGTCCATAAATCATTAATCCAAAGAATAATTTTCAGTCTTTATCTTGCCAAGTCTCTTCAACATAGTTGGCTACTCCCTCCTTCCTGCTGTAATCTTCTTGGTCTATATGACAACACATCTGTTTTCCACCTGTGTCTCTGACCAGTCCTTCTCCATCTCCTTCGCTGCCTTCCCCTTCCTTGCCCTCCCTTTAAGGTGATGTTCCTCAGAACTTCATCTTGGTCCCTCTACTTCCTCTATGTGCTCTTCCTGGGCAAGCTCATCCATCCCCATGACCTCAGTTTCCCGTGCCTCCCAAGTCTATCATTTGCTCAGAATGTTCTCTTGACCTCCAGACTTCTATGTCCAATCTACTCAACCCCATGTCCCACATCTCTAGCTCAATATGAATCAAACTGAAATCATCTTTTCCACAAACTCCCTCTTCATTCTCTGTTCCCTCCTAGGGAGAGAAGAGGCACCACCAGCCATCCAGTGGCTCAAGCCCCAAACCTGGCCATCACTTTCGACATGTTCCTCTTCTTCATGTCTTCATCAATGAGTTTGGCCAGATCCACTTCCAGAATGTCTCTCTGACCCACCCCTTCTGTCCTACACACTGTCACAACCATGGTCCAAGCCACTCTCCTGTCTCTTAGACAACTACAGTAGGTTTTGAACAGAACCTCCTGTTCCTGCTGCCAGAGGGAAACTTCTAAATCCAAAATTAGAATGCTCTCCCTCAGGCTTAAAAACTTTTTGATGGTTTCCCATTGCTCTCAGGATCAAGTTCAAAGCCTTAACCTGGCATTTATGGCCCTTCTTGCCTGACACTTCAGTCTCATCTCTTGCCATTCACCCAATGCTGCTCTTTGTCCAGCTGCCCTGAATTACCTTCATAGCATCTCAGACCCTCTAGGCTCTCCTTTGCCTCTAGAATTTTCCACATGCTGTTCCCTCTTCCTGGAACTCCCCTCTCCAACCTTCACTTCGCTAATCTCTCAATTTCAAGTCCAAGTTAAATGTTACTTGTTCCATTGTCCCTGAGTCAGGTCTGCATGCTGCATGACACTCCTCACAGGTATAACGAAAGACGTTACAAGGGTTGTAAACTCTGAGTGTGAAAACAGGTCCGCCTTGTCACTCTGTAGCCTCAGGTTGATCTTGGTTTCTTGCACATAGTAGACCCTTCATAAATGGTTGTTGAATGAGTAAATAAACAAGCCTGAAACCAAATAGGAGGTGGATCAATGAAGCTGAGACCTCAAAGCTGATACGCCAGGGTGGGGCAGGCCTCCTGATACCCCAGACCCTTCGTAAGGTGGCCAGACACCTTTTCTACCAACAGTGATTTATGAAGTCAACTTGAGCTCACCACAGGACACAGAGCTGGCCAGAAAGGGACACTTCCTAATTCAGGTCTTGATTAAAATCATCCCCACCTAAACTTTGTCCTTGGGAGGTAAAGAGGCCCACTCCCTGTGGTCTCAGGCCTTGAACCATTAAATTAAAGATGCAAAAAGCCTATGGAGAACTTTTCAAGGTATCTCAGATGTTTTCCCATGGAAATACGGAGATATTTTTGTTTCTGTGTTTTAGGTAGCAAGATTGGTGTGTTTGTGTACTAGGCTAGGGAGTGAGAAGGCTTGCGTTGCAGTTTCTTCCTTTTCCCTTCCTTTCCCCATTCCGGTAAAAAAAAGAGAGAGAGCGCGCGCGCGTCAGAAAACAAAAGGGAAGAGTAATTGGGAGAGGATAATATATAGAAGTAAAAGTGATACCATCAAAGGTCTGGCAGCGGTGGGATTCGAACCCACGCCATCGAAATGACTGGAGCCTAAATCCAGCGCCTTAGACCACTCGGCCACGCTACCTTCCCGGCGCCACAACTTTCCACTCACACTATATCAGCCCAATGACGCGACCGCTCACGCTCTCGGAGGCCCGCCTTCATTGATTTGCGCATGCCCGGTACCAGACTGTGTCTCCGGTGTTTGTTACTGCATGTTGGTCTCTGGCTTCCTTCCGGGCTTCGGAGTCGAAGAGCTCTTGCGATCGGCAATAAAACCTACAGTTGGGACGCAGCGTTAAAAAGGAAAAAAGAGTCACAAAATATTAATATTAATATTCAATCCTTACGTATGTTTGCATTTGCTTTTCCATGAGTGTGGTATACTGCCTACAGCCACGTGGGGGCAGTGCCGCGCTGCCTTTGCTCTTGGCAGGGCTTGGGGTCCCGCGGGAAACCTGGGTTTTCGCGAAACCAGGCTGGGTCCCCACCCTGTGGACTCTCAAGTCCTACTTAAGGGAACTTCTGCAGCCTTGGGCGGCCCATGGCCTGGCCCCTGCCATGTAAGAATCACAGGTCCAGGAAGGAAAATCATTGAACATTTTTACCGATCATTGCCACTTGTAGGCTCCCTCAGTCATCACTATTACCCGCTTTTTACAGAAGTGGGAATACAGACTCAGGCTGAGTAACTTGTCATAGCTGCTCCAGGCAAAGCCAGCATTGCCTAGCCTTCCAAGATCCAGTGTTCTACATTGACTACTTCAGTGTGTTTTTTTTTTAATACAATAAATTCAGAGCAAATACATAACATCAATAAATATATAGCAAACTTCTGTATCTTAATTATGGTCTGTTCTTCCGGAAGATCACCCCCCGGCGGCCACAAGAAGGAAGCAGAGATCTCTTTGGGTTATCCCCCCAACAAGTGACTCAAAGCATCCTCCGGTAGTTGGACCATTTGCTAGCAGTAACTGTAACAGAGAAGAACAAACCTGATTCCATATTAAATCTATTCCTTTACCTCCAACCTTTGTGTTGTTTCCTGTGCCTACTCATGCTGGTTCTGCACCTTTTGTAAAAAGAACGTTGCCCATAAACTGAAATATACAGGATAGCCTGTTCTCAAGCCTCTAGCCTTTAAAAGTATAACACTTTCCCATTCATATGGAGATAAAAAGTTGCAGAACAGAGAGTAACACTTGGCTTGTTGGAGGTTTACAGGAACATTGTGACCAGACCTACAAGGGCAGCTGCAAGAACAAAAAATTACGGCACCAAGAAGTTTGCAACAACCAGTCACACCCTCCCTCCCCTTTTAATATAAAAAGAACCTGAATTCTAATTGGGGAAGATGGTTCTTTGGGATACTAGCCCACCATCTTCTCAGTCTGCTGGCTTTCCAAGTAAAGTCCCTATTCTTTGCCCCATCAATGCCTGTCATGTGGCAAGCAATGTGAGTTTGGACTCTGTGACACAACCCTACCCCTCCCAACTCTGTCTCTCTGATAATTTAATTGAAGTAAACTTTTATCCAGCACCCACTGGATCCGGCCAGGTTAGACAAAAAGCAGGTCTTCGGGAGAAGAAGGGCTGACTTCAGAGATGTTCAGAACCCTCATGCCAGAGTTTCTCCAACAGAACAAAAATCCCGTGGAAGCCAGGCCCTGAGCTCACCCGCTCCAGTGAGCAGGCCCATCTCCCTGCCGGCCTCCAAGCAGTGCTGACTCAGCCTCCCTGGTGATTTATGCCTTAAGGGAGAGGCTGGGAGTGTAGTTCCTATGCACAACCCAGGCCCAGCCAGGCAAGGGTGGGGAGACCACAGAAACCAGGGCAACTGGGCTCTGTTTAGTTTTTGTTCTTTTTTTTTTTTCAAGTGATGGTTAAAAATAACTTTTTCTAAAAGAATACATGTCCCCTGTTGAAACTCTAAGCTAAGAAAGAAAAGCACAAAGAGGAAAATATAATCACCTTTAATTTCTCCACCCAGTTAAACTCTATTACTACTTTGGTAAAGAAAAGTGTTTTTTTGTTTTTGGGGTTTTTTGTTTTTTGTTTTTTGGTTTTTTTTTTTGTCTTTTTAAATTTGAAATACAATGTAATGCATGCTTATTATAAATTTTTTTTTCAAATGTCAAATCTTGCGTATAAAGTTAAAGGGAAGTTCTCTTCCTCACCACCTCCCTCCTTCCCATTTGAACCCCACAGGTCAG